GTGGAGGGGGGGCCGTTGTGGGAGGGGCCCGAGATGCTACCCCCTGCTGAGCGGGGACCTGTCGGGATGGAGGAGGGACCGGTCGGGGTGGGGATGGTAGGGGAGGAGGTTTGTCGAGGTGGAAGATGGGAGGGGTGGTTGTTGTTCCTAGAGACAGAGTTGGGCGGGCCCCAGGAGGAGGAAGGGTTGATGCCGCGGCCTCCTCCGCCGATGCTGTTGCGAGGGGTGAAGTTGCCTCTGGGGGAGGGAGCGATGTAGCCGCGGGGTCCGGAGGGCGGGATGCTAGGACTAGTAGTATCCCGGGCTGGGCCGCTCGGGGGGATTTGAGGGGTCGAGTGTTGCGGGATGGGTGCCACGGGGGAGGTGAAGTTGCGGGAGGCGGCCGGGCCGGTGGGAGGGGCTCTAAGCGCTGCCGGGGCCCGGGGAGGAGAGCGCATGGGAGTAGAATTGATCTCTGTAGCCGCTGGCCTTGGGGCTGGCTGCATAGTCAACTGGACAGGCTGCTGTGGCGAGGGCTGCGGGGGGGCCTGTCTGGGGGTCTCTCTAGGCGGGGGAGGAGCCGAAGTTTGTACGGGAGTTGGCGCTCTCATGGAGGGCGGACGAGGCGGAGACCTGGGCGCGGGAGACTGAGGTCGAGACCGATCGTCCCGGCCACGACGAGAAGGAGGCCGCGGAGAGGATCTACCAGAGCCGCTGCGAGAGTTGATCACCGAAGTGTTGACGGAATCCCGGGGCGGCGGTGACTGGCGACGGAAGGTCGAGGCAGCAGGAGGATATCTGTCATCGCGAGGGTCTCGACGTTCCGGAGAACGAGAGCGAGGACGATAAGAACCTCCGCCGCGGGGACCGGCTGGAGGAGAACGTCTCAGAGGGGGAGAACGATCCCGGCGAATTCTGTCTCTGTCAAAAGGCGAGCGGGACCTGCGTCTGTTACCACACAAGAGTTACTAAAAGCTTGCTCAAAAAGTCGAAAATAAAGAAGTTATGCTCACCTGATGTCCAAGTCGCGACGCGGGAGAGGAGAACGAGGGCGCTCATCTCGATCATCTCTTCTGTCGTCTCTGCGATCATCTCTTCTGTCGTCAAATCGCCTGTCATCTCGGCGATCGTCTCTTCTGTCAATGTCGCGCCGGTCATCTCGCCGGTCATCACGGCGGTCGTCTCGCCGAGGAGACATGAACCGGGGAGGCGGCGATCTTCTCATTGGGCTTCTTCTTGGAGAACCACGATGCAAGTCGGTTCTTCCTCGGCTTCTGCTACGACGCCAACGCTGAGGGGCACCACGATCTCTTGATCTGTCGCGGAAGCGATCAACACTGCGTGACCTGCGTCGAGGAGACGGTCTGCCGGGGACATAGCTGTCGGGACCTCCCGGCGGGGTGCGACCGCGATCCCTCATGGGACTGCGTGGTCGTGGGGGAGGTGATCGGTCACGGTTGTAAGGTCGATAAGATTCACCTGCACCGTACCTTCTGACTTCGCCGTCCTCGTATCTGTCGTCGCGATCGTCAGTATCAACGCCCTGATCAACGAGAAAAAAATCGGCACAAAAAAATACGAAGAAAAAAACACATGAACAAAAGAAAGACGTATGAAAAGTGAAAACCACGAGAGCTCCACTGAGAGCTAAGCTAGCTAAAATTCACCGAGGTCCCTGAAAGAATCTCCCTGAACTGATAGCAGTGATTCCCACTCACTCCCCACGCCGTCATCCTTCCACCTAATAAAACCTAAGCCTGCACGAAATGGACACCTGTTTGGTCCAGTAACTCGAAGTCGACATGTTCGTTCTGATCACCGGATGTTGCTGATGAATCCATGACCCGCCTACAACTCCTCATCATCCACAGCTAGCTCCACGTAATAGAAAGAGGATCCCGAGCGACGTGTGCGGCGATTGACAGGTTCTATCTGACGATAAAACTCTTCACTTCTCTGCTTGATGTCGACGAGAGCTTCCTCATCTTCGTCAAAGCTCCACTTGCGACGCTTATGGGCCGATCTGCTGCGAGAAGAAACTGATTCAAAGTCTCGTCCATCGCAGCAAGGTTGCCAATATGAGCTGGGGTGATGTTCGTGTTGATTGGCTTCTATCCAACGTTCTTGTCAACTGGACCAGGCAACTTTGTTCCAGCAGTGGCAGCCTTGAAGCTTTCAGTGTTCATCGACTTGATGGGCAAAGCTGACGCGCCAACATCAACAGCCGTGTTCTCTTCGGTGGTTGAGGTGGTCTCATCTGGAGGCAGAGAAACACCAGTGACAGCGGGCTTCTCATAAGCAACCGGGAGCTCCATCCGAGCCACCACTTTGGCAAGCTGGGAATCAGTCATTGAGCGATTGTCTCTGAAGAACGCCCGAGGAGCCCCTGCAATCTTCTCGAAAGTACCGTCCAAGCAGAACTTGAGCCGCATCTCCAGGCGCGACTGAGCTGCCACGGTAGCGGCGCTGGGAGCGTCATTGGATGTAGAAGCAACGGCCGTATGGGCGGGCATAGCACTGTTGATGGTAGCAGGGCCAGGCTGAACATTGCCCTTGGGGGATTGTATGTTGATGTTGGAGAGATACTCCGAGATAACCTTTGGAGACTCGGTTGGGTCATCTTGTTCGACTTGAACGGTGAAAATAGAATGTTCGAAGGCGACTCTTGGAGACTTGAAGCCGGAATAGAAGCACGACAGGCCGAAAAGCGTCGTTTGCTCGCGCTGCTCAGTTCGTAGGTCACCAAAAAATTGCTTGCTCGAGTGACGGGCGCGCGGGGGTCAATGGAGGTTTGGATACTGGAAGCGTCGTGTGCTCGCGAGCTTCGTGATGAGATTGGGAAATACCTGAAGAAATGGTAGTCCCACCCCTTTTCCAGAGGGGAAGAAAGCACACTTACATATTTCCAAAATGGGATAGCTACAGAAGAGGGGAGGTAACTATATTTTGATTTTCTAATAATTTTTTAAAAAATTAAATTTAAAAAAAA